TTTTGAAAAGGAGAAATAAAACTGAAGGGAAGATGGTATTCTTTGTTTATTTTGTTTTTAAAGTTAATAAAAAGTGTATTCCACAGAAAGTTTTAAAAAATATTTCATGAATATTTCTAATGCTGTAGAACATACAAAAAAGCTGTTCTGTATTAGATTTCAATTTTAAAATATTTCGCTGGCAAAGTAGTTTGAAATAAGTAGCATATAATCTTGTTTTTTGATGTAAGTATTTTCATGTCAAAGCAGTATGTATAAACTATTCTTTTAAGGTTTATATAAAAATATTTAAGTTATTTACTTGGATGCCTCTTAAACTTTTCTGGAGACTTTCAACATTCGTTGAATGTTTAGTATTATATTTGAATCCGAAATCTGGCAACAGTTTTCATTTTGCTCGTGAATGTAAGTCGTTATCTCTCTCTCCCCTTTTTTCTGTTTCACTTTTTCCTTCTCATTCGCATTTTTTTTTTTTTTAACTTTGGTAGGAGAACTGAAAGACGAATAAACAAATGTTCGCTGTTCTACAGTTCGTAATTATTTTAAATCTAAATTAACCTATGTAATGTCAAGATGATATCAAATAAAATAAATCTGCAGTGCAGGTAGAGAATCTGAACGATTCATCTTCGCCTTTCTTTTAGAAAATTCTCGGAATAACCGTCTATACTAAGCCTATATTTCAGTAATAATAAATTAGGAGTAAAGGTTACATTTCTGTCTGTTATCTTAGTAAAAAAAAAGGTTTTAGTAAAATTTAGCGATATTTCAGAGTGAAAGTTATATGCTATTACATGAAAATAATCGAAAATTATATAAAACAACATTTTTACTTCTTATACAACATTTTTAAGTGTATGTACAACGTATGGAGCGTCCATACAGCTGGTTTTGATTTCCTCATGGAGTTCATTTTTTTGGAATACTGATAAGTATTTAGTTACTGTTTTCTGAATCTGTTCGGTGTTGTTATAATAATAACCTTTGAGATAACACTTGCCAAATCAATGAAGTAAATAAGTTGAGAATTGCCCGCCCTTCCTTTTACATGGTAGCGCATTGTTGGGCAATGGAAACCCGCTATTCGATTCAACTTTTTGAGCTTAATGCGCTGAATTCATTTCAGAAGTCTTTCATTATGTCTTTACGGTGTTCACAATTTAGTCTTCAGGGACAAATTCCCTGTGAATAATTCCTTTCCAGTCAGGAAAGTCTGTCTATGGTCGTAAAATCTTCACTCGAAATTTCTGAAACGAAGTTTATATGATCATAGTAAAATTTTTCCATTCCCGGCAGATTATTGTCGTGTTCTTTTAGGATCATGAGGAAAGCACCAGGTTTCAACTTCAGCGACAATTGGCCGGGGGAGGGGAATCAGACTTAGTCTGCCATTTGGTTTAAATCGTGATATGGAGAAATTCGATCTTGTTTAGTTTCTCCAGGTCGCTAAGCCCTGGAGCCAGCCGTTTCGGAGGAGATGATGTTACTTCACCCCATATATGTATATGCGGTTTAAGTGTCTGTCTGTTTATTGGTTGCTTGCGTAACTGTACTAGCCAATGGGGTGAAGTTGCCACGGCACAGGTTTGCCGTTTCAATTGAGACGTAGACAATTTCCTGTAAAACTTGCCTTTGCTATGACCATCCATAATTCTCAGGGCCAAACGCTTAAGCGTGTTGGCATTTTTTTACCTGAGCCTGCATTTGAACACGGTCAACTTTATGTTGCCTGTTCAAAAGTTCATGAAAGAACGGACGTAAAATTAAAAATAATGGACGGTCTTCTGCAAGGCGAGTTTAAAAATGATGCAAAGATCTACACAAGAAATGTTGTGTAGAAAGAGATCTTTGACATGTGAATTAACATTTCTTTATTTAAATCACCTTTTTTGAATGAGCTAGCGGTGGTTCTTAAGAAATATACCGCCAGTGGTTTCCTTCATTGCACTCTACTTTAAGGAAGTAGAAGGGGAAACCCCGTGGGGCAGTAAGCAAAGGGGCGTCCTCGCCGCCTACCCTGGGTAATTCAGTTTAAATTAGCAGACACCGTTGCACAAATAAATTTAATTACAATTTATAATATCTAGTTATTTTAATTACAATTTATAATTAGAATTTATAATATCTAGCCCAGCGGTCATTCCGTATGACCGCTGGGCGTTCTAGTTTTTATATAAACCAACTCCATACTGAGTTTGGTTTGTGTTTAATTGTAATAATTTTAATTTTAAAAGTATGTTTTTAATTTTAAGGAAAATTTCTTTAAATTAAATTACCCGCATATTATTCTTATTTGAATTTGCATCCGTATAAGTTTCCTTATACACAGTTTAGATTTTCGGTTTTTTTGAAAAAAATTCACAGTTCTGGAAGAAAAGTAATAAAAGTCGTCGTAACTTCACTGTAAATCCTAACTTCTGAACATGCGTTGAGTGCAAACTGTCATTCACTGGCTAGAATTTTATTGATCAGGAAAACTGGTTTAGACATCTCAAACTTCCATAGTACGTGCACCTAAGACTTCTTCCAAAAGCAGCACGCAACTTTATGGTGTTCTTAACCTTTTATTTTCCGTAGCGCGTTTCCACCATTCTTCACCTAAAAGAAACTAAAATTCGAATATAAAACTGAAACGTGTACCCGAATTTTCCTGCTGAAAGCAGCAGCCATTTTTAGAAGCTCAGGACAATTAAATCTGTATGTGGACTTATTAAACTGTTGTAAGGTTTTGTGTTAATTAACCAATTATTATGAGTTGAACCTTTGCTATAACTTCTTATTTCTGTATCATTCCTTACTAGAATGTTAGTTGTTTTTGTATTTAAGCCGAGTGTTTGAAAGTTTTAGGGTTCCAGCTTCTAGCAGCCTCGTGTTATTGATACTTGCGATCGCCAGCTCTGCCCAGGTTATTCCTCTTAAGCATCTAGCTAACCGACGTTTAAATATGTCCCATTAACTAGCTTGAGCCAGTTAAGTAGTTTATAGTGGGTATAGCTTCACGTTACCTACATTGGAATTCAACTTTATCTTTCGTTAATTTAAATACCCGCAAGTAGCGGAGGTTCATTTTCGCACAAGCAATACATTTCGCCCATTTAAAAGTTAAACGAAAAGGTTATTTTGACCTTCTTGAGACTTGTCATTGCTTCAAACTAAAGCGGTGAGTCGTTTCCAGTCAAGTAGGGTTTGTAGAATATTAACACAAGCTTACAGACATAGACAAGCCATTTATTTTCACATACAAATAAGACCGCAATACTATATAAAACTAAAAACTGTATAACATTTTATTTCCGGAATTTTCCTGCTGCAGTGTAGTTTGTTACTGTATATATTAGAAGACATTATAGAAGTTATTGTGGAGTTTAGGGAGGTAAGATTGCAGGTTTCCTGGCGAAGAAAGGAATGAATTTCCACCAAAAATTCAGAAATTGATTACTTTTCATTTTGCTAAGAGATCGTTTAACATGGAATCTGACAGGATTCTTGACTCAAATTTGTGAGTAAAAGCTAAGAGGAATAACCTGCCAATGTGTCCTGGACAAGCTATATACTATCCGAGATTCTTCTCGTGTTATAGCTTTGGTATCATTGCGTCTTTTAACAGGGCATGCTTCTTTGTTTTACATGAAGTTTAATCGGTATAATGGTTAGCTTTGCTGGCTGCCGTATTTGTTCGTATGCTGGCGAGGCTTTGGGATATGGGGACACTTAAGATACACTGCGAGCCGAAAGCCCTCTGCAGTGTTTTGGTGGTAATCTTCAGAGTTGGAATGTAATTGGGCAAATCATATTGTCACTTATAAGGTGTCTCAAAGGCATGCGAATGATAAACGCAGTTTTGCGTTCCTAGCCGCAATGAAATTCGTCGACTTCTGATGTTACTGTCAAACCAAGTGAGGAAAGTCTCAAAAACAACATACACTCCACCATTCTCCACTCTTTCTTTATGACTCTGGGTAACACATAGACAGAAAATTTAAACTTGTGCTCTGCCTTTAATGATTGCAATTTTGCTTACGCATTACTTAACCCGAACAATTCATTGTGGTAATGGATTTTGCAATTTTACGAAGAATTTACGCTATATATTTATATAATCAAAATCTATATTCATTCTGCCGTATGTACGTTGTTATCACTTGTATTCATGTGATTCGGTGTGGTGGTTTTTAACTGCTATCAGTCTCTATCTTCAATAACTATAATTTTTAAAAATAAAATAAAGCTGTGTAATATATTTCATACCAAAAATTAAGTACGAAAACATCAGATCTATACCACAGAACAGCTGAAATAATCGAAGTTGCCCAACATAGTAGAATCCACTGTCAAACGCATATGCAGTGTTGAATCTCAAACTGGACACTGAAAATTATAATCATTTTATATGGTTATTTTTATTAATTATCGATAGTTGTTAATATAAATCGATTTATCTTTTGGACTTAAAAATAATTACATTTTTTAATAATCATTAGTTTTATGTAATGGACAATTTAGAAGTAATAGTCAAAATGTTTTCTCATTTTGTGATTTTTTCCTAAAACTCGTAAAAAATCAAATTTTCGAAACGCAGTGGTGACATTATCTTTGTTTGAAAGAGGTATGCCTGGAGTTAACACTATTATAAAATTTGAAATTATGAGATGACAAAATACTGTTTCTGGGAGCTGAAAAATGTTCAAATTCATGAAATGCGTGTAAATCATGCAGTAATAATAATGAGGTCAAAATCCGTGTATTGAGGTGCACATATTTGAATGTAAGATTATCTGTGGTCCAAATCAGGTGAGCGCAGATATTTTTATTTTATAATAAGAGATATGAGTTTTCATAATAGAAGTATAGATGCGTTAAATTTGTATCTGATTAAATATATGTAGTTGTATAACGTAGCTGTATAACGTTGTATAACTTAATGTAGTTGTATAACGTTGAAACGTAGCTTATATAATACTAAATATTTAATTAAATAAAAATCTTTTTTCTCTTTACAGCTGGATACAATGGACGATCCTGTGTATACTCATTCGGAATTGTCGATTAATGCTACGCGTACTACGAGCTTCACTTGCAAAGCAACAAATTCTCTTCTTAGCCTCAACTCAACTTCACAGACCGACATAAAACACTTTCAGCTTTATGTCTTACCAAAAGATGGTAAGTTTCTCTAATGATAATGATCAGCTAATTAAAATTTTATTTTCCTTCCTTTCGAGATTTTCCTAAATAAAGACCACTCTTAATTTAAGAATTCACTTTCCGAATTGAATTAGCGTGATTAATAGCTGTATTTTGTTTTTATATCAAACTACTATGCTCTAATTAGTGCTAAAATATCTTAAAACCAACCATTTCGCATACATGTAATTGATGAATTAATCTCCCGTACCAAACGTTCTTTTCTTTTCTAAGGTAAACACCCTTGACAAACTAAAGGATTAGCATAGCAAATCCCTACAATCTTTTTATTCGTGCAAAGTTTTAAATACAAATTATTTTAAAGACACGTTTTTGGTTTCACTATATAAGTGATACTTTCGTGTCGGTGGCAGAAAAGATTATTTAATAAAAAAATGTTTTCTTAATGATTACAAATCGCGCCATTCCATTCGTTTAGTTCTGTTTTCATTTCTTTATTTTTCGCAGCATTTCGGTGACGCGAAATAATAATGCATAAAACTTAAAATGAGATTTATCAAAAATCTTTTTCATTTTATTTTCTTATGACAGATAGTGTCACTTTAAAAATATACTGATCATCTTTCTTTTCTTCAGTTTATGGTCCATTTAATGTTTATTTTTCACAATCTTCGTTTATTTAGGATTCAGTATTTAAATATTTTTGCCAATGAAATAAATTTCTGATGAAAATTATACAGAACGTACTGCCATATAAATATTAATCTATTTATACCAACTTGTGATATCCAAACTTATGAATCTTTGCATAGCATAATAAAACTGAGCCAATGTCCATGCAAAATAGGACAACGTCCCGGATAAGAATAAGATTTTATTTAAGTTAAATAAGGATAAGGATAAGAATAAATTTAAGTTGGTTCCCCCCCCCCAGTTGGCAGGATAATTTATATAAAATTATAACTAATAGCAGAATATTACCCAATTAATTGCTTTGTAATGTGCACATTTAAATTTCTCCACAAACTCCTTTTTGATTTACCTTACGTGCACACTTTTGCAGTTTCTTTAGAAACTGATTTTGAAAGAGCTTTCGGAGGAAAGAGCTTACGTTCCCAGTTAGCATAAGCCGAATCATTGTTGCTGGGCAACAAACTATTCTGTGTCCTGAAACCTATTATCAGGATTTTGTCTAAATGATCTACTTGTTCAGCTTTATGCCAACCAGGTACAGAACACCGATATTCACTGGGAGGCGACTACAACTGACGCTGGTAAACGATTTTGTTCAGTTGTGTATTGACGCATGTGCAACTTTTTCCTCATTGATTGGCTACGGCTTAAACCTTGTTTCGCAGGTATGAACGAAGCTAATCTTATTTTACACGTTATAATTATGATAGTTGTGATACTTACACCACCTTCTGAGCGCCTATTTAGACACGAAATCAATACCCTAGAAATTCAAATAGTTTGACATCATCTTTCGTATAATGACTGGTTATTATATTCGGCGAAAGCAAATTCTTTTAATGATGATACTTGATGAAAGGAGTTACCTTTTTTAATGCACTGATTTAAATGTATGGAATTTACTGATAGTTAGCTGAAGAAATACCCTCCCTTCCCCCATAAAAATGGCTGGTGTTGAAACATTTCCCTATTTATCTATGGCTTTTCGTGTGTTTTATGTAGATTTGTCCTGATGTGTTCAGGAGCACAGGCAGAGAATGTTGGATGAGAGTACTTAGTGCCATCACGATTAAAATTAAGCGTGGAATATCATTCCTCAGTTATGTTAAATTTTGCTCTTCAAATGGAATCAATTGTTTATAACTTTAAGGTGATTTTATTTGGCTCGAATTACGTGATCTTTCTTGTACTTTGGGGTCTCTTTCTGATAAACATTTTAAACTCAGACCTTCCTTAATTTGATAATCATGTATGTTATCTTCAGTTTTCGAGCGGTTTTAATGAATCAAAATGTCCAATTTCTCAGCAGTCTTCCGTTTAAACATTTCATGAATCGTTTGTTTCCTTTTTGGATAACCTTTTAAAAGTTTTGGATGACGAGCAGTGTACTAATATAAAATGAGTGAAAAACATTAGGAGGGGAATGATTAAAAAATGTAACTGAATCCTTGCGAAAACGATTAAACCATGTTTTGGGGTATCTAACTAAAAAATTAGAAAATTATTTATTTGCTTGTTCTTTTCTTTTCTTTTTTTAATAATAAATGTCCTTTCAATTTTGTGGCGTAATTTTTCTGCTCTTAGCTTTCTTCCCTATATTATATTTTTAGGGAAATAATTCTTTTAAAAAGAAACATTGTGTAAACGTATACTTCGAAGTTTCAGACAGACTGAAGTGAGATCATGTTTGCTTAAATTTGATATAAAATGTTTACTTGAATTTAATTGTGGTAGTTTCAATATATTTTTCCCCTTCTCTGGATAAGTATAGTTAGCGATTCATCGTGCACGTTTGTTATTTTTGGCGTCTTATAAAAGGAAGTAAAAAGCAGATGTGGCATGAGCAAAATCACCGACAGGAATCAATGCTGTAAATACAGTCTTGGGCTCCATATGAGTTTTCTACAGAGTGCTGGCTTCCATTTGATTAGGTTAATTGAATATGGTAAAGCATAAGAAGATATCTGTCTCAAGCGTGTTATGCCTTCGCAGATGATTTTCTAATGGACTTTCTATTAAATTCTCTCTCTTATTCACGTTACACATAGGAAAAACTGTGAAAACAAACCAATCACTCAGCCTATTTACCTGACATCGAACTCGAAGTATTGAACAGTCTTATATTTCACTTGTGGGACCAGAATACTTTGCACAGTTGCATAAAAATAGTTCTTAAGTGCTATTCTGAAAATGGGATTGTTGAAAAATGTGTAATTTCCAACAATTTAGCCCAGAAGGGGTCATTAGTTTTTGCGTTGGTTCACTATAAACGGCGCATCACTTTTCAAATTGTTGTCACCAAATAGTATCGGCCTGTATTATTTTTAAAGAAGTTTAAACGATAAAGAATCTGCGTGTATGCATGTTTTTATGTTCCTCACACTGTGAAAAAAACGACGGCACCTAGAACTGTGAAGTCTTGAATAACGTAGTCCTCCACCCAAACATGGGCACCTGGAAGCCCGAATTTTGAATTTCGAATCATTTTTACTTCAGATTTTGTAAAACTTTTGATTAAAAACTCAATAAATTTTTGATTAACTCAATGATTTGAAAGCGAGTAATAACAACACTGTTCGATATGAAACATTTTTATCTCTAGCGTGTGAGACTGCTGCCATTCGGAAAAATTTAAGGTGTTTGTCTTTCAGTTTTTGATTAACAAACTTATTATGAATGAGTATGAAAACAATGTGTTGCCGCCCTTGGAAATAAAATACTTTTGTCTTACACTTGCGAGCGTGTTGCTGCTATTCAGTAAGGCCTAAGATACTTTCAAATTGAATCTGGAAGGTTACTGAGCAATAAACTAAGCGATTTAAAAACAGTGAACACAGTTTTCAGGAGTATTATTTTCTACTTTTTAATATGATTAAGTTAAATAAACACGCATTAAAATCATGAGATATCTAATTAGAAATATTCAGTATTTTTATGAAATTACAGCCAGACTAATTAAAATCATTATAGACCTTTTTTATGATAACTATTTTAGGTGGCTATTTTTTAAAGAAATAATATATCGAATATAAAAATATATATGGCAACCTCTAAACCCCTCTTTCGGAAATTCTAAAGATGTGCTGTTTAAAAATATTTATTGATCCTGTATGCCAAAATGTATGCCAACATTTAATACTACATCGGGAATTCTTAACATATTTTGCAATGTATCTTTAAAATTTTTGTGTTTTTTTTTGGGGGGGGACTGTATATGGTGTAAGTGCGAAGAAAATAATGCGTACAAATAAAGTTAAAAAGACAAAAAAAGGGGGGCGGGGATATGGGTTTGTTGGAATGAATGCAAGAGTAAACTGGTAGTCTGCAAGTTCAACAAGAGCGTAAAAAGCCTTAGCAAAACTTTTGGGCGACCGTTAAGAATTGAAGCCTTTCAGCCTTTTTTTAAAATTATTATTATTGTTGTTGTTATTTGGTAAAAATGTCCCGGTTGTATTTTTATGAAGTAAAAGGAACTTATTTTTCAAACAAAATTATTTTTTTGAATTTGTCAAATGATAGTTTTTAGTAAATAAAAATAAAAAGAGACCCTGCACATCAAGATATCTAATATTTACGAAGCGAAAACGAGGCCGAATAAATAAATGGCGCCGTGAGTAAGGAATGTTTATTATACTCGTATTACATAAGCTTACTCGAAGGCATCCTTTTTCTCAAGCAAATAAATACACATCGCGTCTGTTTGCTTGAAATAGATGCAATGTCCACTTCACTGTTGATTAAGCAATGCCTCTTTAGTCAGGAAAAAGGAATTAATTAATCTCTATTTATTGTGAATCCTTTTGGCATTCTTTAATCCATCGTTAAAATTATCCAAAATATTAGCTGTTCAAGTGGTAAATTAAAATTTCCTTGTAGCTTTTCTGTTTATGAAAATATATAAACTCTTAAGAATATCCAAGCATATATAATTATTTATTATTTTATTTAATTAATTTAATTATTTTATTTAATTAATTTTTTTAAATATATTATTTAATTTTTTTCTGTTTTTTTTTTTTTTTTTTTGTCTCTTTTCTTATTTTATAATGGCATGTCTTATAATTTAAGACATTAGGCGGCTCCATAGAATACTTCTGTGTTTCTGACGATGCAAGAACGCGTCAGATTGTCTCTCGAAACGCATTTAACCTTTAAAGTTATCATTAACGCTAATGTAAGGTTGATTTCCGGATTTTTAAAGTTTGACTTTCATTTTTTAACTTATTAATTAATTAAGCTGTAGATATAACTGATTTATGTGTATTATTATTCAGTAATGTATATTTATATAAAAAATAAATTATTAAACAATAACTTATCATATTTTAAGAGTAACAAAAGCATCAAGGAGTTTCATTAGTAGATTTGATACATGTTCTAAAATAATAACTTATTTTTGCACAAAACACTGTCTTTCTAAATTCATAAATAACTTACTTGATGACTGAGAAAATTATCACATCTTTTAAAATGAAATGAGTATATTTTTTTAAAGAATAAAGGACACATTTGATAAAAGAATTCTTTTAAAAATCTATTGCCTTTGCATTAAATGCTTGAAAAACGGTGCATTGGAAACTAAAATATTGAAATTTTACGTAAAGAAAGTTATCAAAAAAATTGTACGGATTACAAAATATTTCCTCTGCTAGTTTTATGCTGCTTTTCTAAAAGAATAATTTTGCTGATTTTAAATCTTAGAAATATTTTTGGCGCTGTGTAAAAAAAAAAAAAAAAAAAAAAAAAAATGTGCACATTCACGACAAAAAGCTAATTTAAACTCGTAATCCTTTTATATTTAAAATTTTCCTAATTAATGTAAATGAGTTCTTCAAAAAATGAGTTGTTTATCAAATACTCGTTCAATGATCTGAGTTTTTTTTTTTTTTTTTTTTTTTTAATAAAACCAGTGCAGAATTCTACTTTTCTCTCTGAAGGTAAAAAGGATTCACATTTATTTAAATGGCCATAAATTCTTTACCGTTTTCTGTTCCAATTTTTTTTAATATAATTATTTTTTAATTAAGTACATAAAGAGATCAGATTCAAAAATAGGATTTAATGCATTAGATAAAAGAATTTGCTCAGGGTTCAATATTTCTACAAATATTGGTAGTTATGATATCTGCTGTTGACAATATTCTATAATATTCCTTCTACAGGCTTTTTCCTTGTTTTTATTGTAAATGTTTTTTACTTTTCTTATTCTCATTTTGTTTAGTTTCATTAATCGAAAAGGGCAATTATTTGGTTATGATTTCTTTTTGTTTTTTATGCTTCAATGGTGTATTTTGTAAATATTTTTGTAAATTTTTATGTAGTTCATTTATGGTGTTTAGCTATCAGTGGAATTTTCCCACTGATAACTAAACAAACTATCAATTTCAATCTATTTTGTAAGTACACTGTTTGTCTATGATAATGCATTGTGGTGAATCGATTTTTTTTTTCAAAATTCTTTCTGTTTATTATTATTTAATGTTTAAATGATTTTCCACTTTTATCTGTGTTTAACGAATAAACTAGGGCTATCAGAATTTTACTGTTTACGCCATCAAATGGACCGGAAAAAAATCTTTTCAATGAACCCTTGTAGCTTAAATTCTGAATTTATGCCAAATTTTGGTATCAGATATAAAGTTTTGAAATTTTAATAGGTCATAAAACAAACTTTAACCCTCTTTTAAAACAAGAATAGTAAAAAATATTAATTCCTGTTGAGTATTTAGCAATAGTTCGTGAAACTAACTGAGAGATGTGCTAGGATATAATATTAAACTTGTGAATTGTGAAAGTAATTTGGATTGTGTGCCATCCGTTATTCTCGCCTGCAGCGTAAATTTATATTAGTTAATTTAATTCTATACTTCGAACTAAAGTCAACAGTAAATTTTAGTTGTTTTTTATAGCTGTTGCATTTATTTAGTATTTTGATACTGTAATCAATACCACAAGGAAATTTCGTCTATTTGAGTGAAAGATTTAAACTAGTTTTAGAATAATGTAAACCAAGTTTAATCTTATTCAGCATACCAAGGGAGTAAGTACCGAGGTTAAACTCACGAATAGATACAAAATATTGCTCACGCCTTAAACATCAAGGGGAGTGCTTTACATCCGGCTCGAAAGTTTCCAGTTTTATTTCACTTATTTATTACTTAAATCCTTGCTGCTATTTAAAACTCATTTCATTTGCATGTTCTGGTGGAAAAGGCAAAACATTATGAATATCGGACAGATGTAACAAAAACATATTAATTAAAATAATCTTTATTTTTTTCCTGTATTTCCATTTTGTTGTAATGGAAAACTGAACTGAAGCTTTTAATTATCAATTGTTCCAACTGAAAGTTAGTGTTTGCAACTACTGGTTAATTTAAGTTATTCCGTTGGGTGAAAAAAAAGTTACATAAAAATAGTAAAAACACCAATTTCGGGATAATTGTTTTCAGTATATTGGTAATGCTTTATTATAATTGTGAAGAATTATTACAACCTCTTCTTTATTTCAATTATTTCGTGGAACGAAAAGAAATTGCACACCGTGTCCACAAAAGCTATTATTCAGCCAGCCGCCCCCCCCCATACCGTTGGGCATAAACATGTGCTACTTCTAATTGCAAAAGTATTTCAAATGACGCAGAGAGATTCATTTTTCATGTTTTGAAAGTTTAAAGAAAAATTATTTGACGGGAAATAACGTAGTCTAACTTTTTATACGTTCTTCCCGATACCTATATTTATATTTAGGTAAATTTTATGCTTCTTATAAAAAATAAAACGCAAGAAGTTTGATTCCGTACGACAAAAATTGACCGAGATATTTAGTATCAAAATCTGGGATCATATTTAGAGGCCTTAACACAACGTGTGCTTGTGTATACATAACTAAAAATGAAATTTTAGTGTAGAAACATGTATGTTTTTGATGTTACGATTAAGTGACGAGCATTTCTATACAAATTATTATGAAAAATGTTGATCAATATATTATATAATATATATATATATATAATAAAAATCTTATTCACAAAATTTTACAGAATTCGCGTTCGCTAAAACGTCGATAGGCTTCATAAAACTTTTATTGTTATATTTTTAGAATTTGAAACTTGTAAATGATTTGCGTGAAAATTCTTTTGGCGTATCAAGTGGGGAAAAATTTATGAATTAAGGTCACTAGTAAATTACAAAACAATATCATTGAATGACATTTAAGGCGTGAAAATCAACCTGGAATTATTCTAATTTATTTACTAATCGGCGGCTCAACGGAAAATAAATATTACGAAATCTCAAATTTTGAAATTAAATATTTGAGCCATTTTTTTTCGCGTGAGTGTTAGAGAGTTTTATTATTATTATTATTTTGAATAACGAGTACAAAAATTTCCTGAAAATAAATGTAGAGATCGGAAGAACGATTGAAAAATTCAATTTCATAGTTTTTGCAAATTTGATTTCTTTAAATTTAAAAATACCAAAATATGAATATTCGCGTTATTTAAAACCGTTTTGCTTTCGGATGTTCGTGTTAACGACTAATGTTTGCAAAAATAAAAGCCGGTTGAAGATTTTTGCGGAAACTGCGTTTGAATAGTAAAAATATAAATTTCGGAGCGATTTTTTTTTTCAACTTTTTGTGCTGTGTCATGATAATCGTGAACAGTGATTTTATTTGAATGTTGTTTTATTACAAATTCTTTTTGGTGCATTTTTCAGAAGACGATCTCTATCGCAGTTCAGAGGTTGTTGGCTTCGAGGACGAGGAGGAGATCAGCGAGGAAGAGCCGTCTATCCTGAATGAGATCTACGAAGAAGAAGATACTAGGATATGGGAGGAGAAGGTAAACACTGGTAGGGTACCCGAAAAGCCAAAAGAGGATGGTCCCTTAGGCGGCTCTGAAGAAATCTTGGGCTACTGTGCTCCTTACACGGGTCATGTATGTCGAAGGTACCTCAACGATTCCAGTCTGGTCTACTATAACTTCACGAGCGAGAATCATCCCATACCTTTAAATGAACAGATAACCGAGGAACTGTGGAGCGAGCTGATATCATCTCTCTTAGAACCTTGCAGGTATGTCCTTTAAGTTTTTGTATTTCTTTTATTAGCTACTTTGAAGTAGTCTTGTAGTATTAATAGTAACCTTATAGTATCTTCCAATTGTTTATGGGGAAATGGCTGTTAGGTAACATATTACCGATTGTGGAAGTCGTCTAATGGATTTTTGTAGAGTGAAGCCGGAAGTGATTCTTTATGGTGTCGATCAAAAAATTTCTGACTTGTGTTCGTTAGAAGTGTGATCTAAGCCTTAATGTTTAGAAAACGGGTTACTCCATGTTTAGAAAACAGGCTAGAAACTTGAATACCGTTAACGCAACGTTTGTCAACCTTTTTAAAGTAGGGACCACGTTTATAAATTAGAATATTCTGCAGACCATCTAACTCTTGACCCTTTCGAAAGCATTTTTTTAGTATATTGTAGTTACTTGCTAAGCCCTGTATGTTAGTTCTATCGTTTGTTAGCATCTTCAAATTTTTAGTTTAGTTACTTGATTTTTAAGTTACCGTCCAAGCAGAGGTGAAGTTTGATAGCGTCGAGTTGACGCATTGTAAATTTTAAAGAGTTAATAAAGAGTACTTTAACCCTTCCCTTGTGTAGTTTCCTGCTACTTCCGTTCTCAGACACAAGTTTCTCTATTAGACCCTACAAAATGTTACTACGAGTGTACTTATATTTCTAAAATGTTTAGTTAATAGAAAAAAATTGTGTGTGTTTTTAATAAATCAAGTGTCTTAATTAAATCAAGTGTATTAGAGTTTCGATAATCTCATCTTATCAACTAAAAATTAAATAAATGTTGGTACTTTCAATTAATGGTATGGATGAGCCTACGATTCTTGCATAGCTGTTTAGTTTAGTTCTGCTCCATGTTTAGTTGTATGCTGTTAAGATTCGTAGGTAAGGCAGTAAATTTAATAAAATGTTAGACGATTGCCAATCCAGACTTTCAGCTGTAGTGTGGTACACATAGTTAATTTGAATTTTATTTTTTGTCTTTTTTTAAAATTCTGAGAGGACCACAGATTGGAAAATTCTGTTCTAAACTAAAATCGATGAAATTAAAATAAAGTGGACATAGTTCCTTTTAGTATCATAGGGCTAAAATTTCCTTTCAGTATGCGTAAATTCGTAAGTATGTTCCTTAATTTTACCTGATGTATTTGGCTTAACCTTAATCCTTGAACATGTTTTCATCAACACAATCTTTATCATAATTTAAATTTAGTTTTTAAAACAGGAAGTTTAATTAAAGCAGTGAATGGACTTGGGGTAAAATGCTTCGCTAATTTTTTTTTTTTTTTTTGGGGGGGGGTAAGGCTCTTCAAAATGAATTTTAGTACTGAAGTCAGTTAGTTGGTCAGTTTTAGTCATTTTTGTTGCAAGATTGATGTTCTGGTATCATATTATTTCCACATATTCTCTGTAACGCTTCTTCAGTTTCTAACCTTCAGTTTGAGCATCTGTAGCTATTCTCCGACAAGGCTTTAGGCGATGTATTATACGTATAATCATAATTATTGAGATAATTTTTCTCGACATTCTCTGCAATGTTTGTTTCGATTATAGGCGTTCCTCTTAAACGCGCTTTTGGGATTTATACTCTTTGAAAATCTGGCAACGATTTGATATTACATATGCCATTTATTAAAATAACATAACTGCTGAATATGAACTAAAATACAAAATACAGCTTGAAGTGGTCAAGCAAAGAAATTCTTTAAAAATTTCTTTTTTGTGTACCGCACATAAATAAAATTTCGCTTTTATGATCATGTTTTTGTCCATTCCATGTGAATTCCGAATTCGACAAGAATTCCCCCCCCCAATGGCGAGCGCTAACCGTTTATAGGCAGGCCGGAAGTGATTTTCTCTTTATTATGGTGGCAACTAATAGATGGGTCATCATTGCCTGCTATGAAAGGAGGAACATATTACATCCATGCCTTCTCCGAGATTCGAACCGGGGCTCTTTGTCAGAGTCATTAACCGCTTTCCCGTCTGGTCGGCTGTACACAGAAAATTAATGAGCATTAAAATTTAGTGGCCTTAATACTTTCAATGAAGAACATATAAACTTTAAAAAATCTTCATATCTTCATCATATCTTCTATGATCATGATATTCAAATTATTTTGTCCAAGCCTTATGAATTAAAAACTTAAAAATTTTTTAACTTCCTGTCGACTTAGGCAACAAAATGATCAGTAGCTAAACCTAGAGATCGTAAAATTTCATTGATGAACGTATAACATAAAAAATGTATATTTGTCTAATATTATATTTATAGAAATTAAAAATTTCCATATTATAATTTTTGTAACGGATTTAACCTTGTAATGATTTCACTGCTCAAAAAGAATAGTCTCTTGAAATAGTTGAACTGAAGAACTAAATGAGTGTGAACTCAAAAACTGAATTTATGCTGAATGGTGTGTTAATTATTTGTTTTCAATCAATAAATCACATATAAAATAAGGAAACATATCTCCTTTAAAAAAATCACTGCGAATAATTAGCTTTTGGGTAGCAAAATAAAGAGTTGTATGTATTCGTAGATCTGAAAAATATATTTTTTAAAGTTCTGTCAAACTGTTCCTTTCCGTAATGTATCGATTTCCTCAAGTAAGGGACTTGGTTTCCTCATAGTATGTTAGATTATGAATAATTTAATCATTAATTTTCCTTGGACAATTTAAAATTTCTAATAATAAACAATTCGGTCTTTCCATCCGTTAAAATTATTTAAAAAATGTTTTTTAAACAATTGCGTGAAAAAGAGGAAACTGTTACCATCTTCATGTCCGCTGACATATTAGCGTAATTAATCGCTGTCCTGTCTTCTGAAACTTGTCACTCGCTAAGCATGGTGTAGATTTACTATCATTATTAACTTCGCTAATCCCTGAAACGATCACTAATCACTAGAGAAGCCTATCAGAACCATGTGATAAAAGCCCTATCGATGTTCTTATGTTTTCTGAATCATAGCCTTTAATTAATTGGCCATAAATTTACTTAGAAGGCAACTGCTTGTTAGCGCCATGTTACAATTCAGATACTCCATTTTATTCTTTTAGATTTTACTTATAATTAGCGCCTTATAAAATGACAAAATAATGAGTTAGTTGAAGAAGAATTCTTGCTTGTGATGTAAAGTAAATTAAATCCTGTTTGTGTAAACTAGTTTCGTATTCAAAGCAACTTTCTTGCTGTATAGATAAATATTTTTTTTGTTGTTGTTATTTTTATAAATAAGTGTTCTATTTTAAGCTGAGAGACTTGATAATTTATTAAAAATTGTAAATATTTTAATGCTGTTCAAATACAGATTATTCGTAATTCTGTGTAATACTTTAAAAATTCGTAACAAATAAACTACAAAAGCTTTACCAAATTTCCTGATACTGAAATCGAAGTAAATTCATCAAGTGTTTTTATTTATTTATAGAGCAATCTATATATTCATATTTGTTCATAGCGCAGACTTTAGTGCAATAATCTATTTCTTACCCGGTCTATGTATAAGATATTTCTCCCATCCCTTCGTGGTGTGGTGGTCTGCACGCTGGGCGCGTAATCCAGAGGTCTACGGTTCGATTCCTGGCGAAGGCTGTTGCTCATTTTTCAATCTCTTTTACTTCCAAATTACCTAATATCTCTACATATGTATCGAGTCAACTAGAATCACGGCATTGGTGGTACATTTTCAAAGAGCTTAAAGATGGACGAGAAGAGGAAGCACAAAGACAGTATCCTTGATAAACTTCTCTCAAAGAAGCCACTTGTAGTTCATTGAATCCGTGGATCTAGGTGGCCAAATCATTAACGCATTTTAATAACGCATCTTGATGGAAAATTCTCGATAATAGTCTTAAGTAGTGAGTCGGACAATTTTTTTCATTGAAAGAGGTAATCATCTGTTTTCATTCAACTGTAGCATCAGCTAGCTTTCTAATACGTGGTTTGATAGAAAAGCTGAGTGATTCATGTAAAAACTTTTGCCTAAATCAGGGAAAACATTTTATATTTTTTTGAAGGGATGCCAGTCATTTGCAACGCATTTTTGACGGCAACTGTACAGTTCCTGAAAACTGTGCCAGAGCTCTGCTTCGGTATCTCATGCAGAAGAATGTAAATTTAGAATATGTGTAATATCCAAAAATCGTTCTTTTCTTAGGGCTGTTTCAGGTGCGAGAATAGAAAACGTTCTGTTAATCAAGATTAGATGTGTACATAAGATTATCGAGAGCCAAACTCCTCTCCAAATAAACTATAATCTCTTTCAAGAAAGGGCCAGGTATAAACGGGCATTATCCTGGAGAATCACCAAGAATCCGTCTTTGCCTATTCTGGAGGTACATGACAGCTTCTTTGCAATAAATATGTTGGGACATCCTTGAATGTGTTAGTATGCATTGGTGCTCGTTCTGTCTATCATCATCATTAGTTTAATATTTTCTTCACTACGAAAAGTCCTAGCGTTACATTTCGATCAGCGTTCGGAGTCAAGCTCGAAAATGTTTAAACCATTCGTAAACGCAGCTTAAGATACCTTTTCATCTCCCTAAACACCATCGTCATGCTTTAGCATGTCATGACTTCCTTTTGCAGATTTACCAACCTTGAAACAGAAAATTAAATTCGTTCTCTTTACAGCCACTGCTACACCTTTACATGCTAGAGTGTAATAAAGAGAAATCCTTAATGCCTATTTCCTGTGCCACGCTCAGACATGTTCAGACACCTAATGGAGTAACTCTTCCGTCTTTTGCCATCCCCCACGATCGTGCATGTGCATTTTATGACGTCTTTCTCCGAACGTAAATATCATACCTTGTGTGTCGAAATAAATCCCGCCAGTGATCATAAATGTTTGCCGCTGCATCCGCAGAGAACATTTTTGAAATGCAGGAGGAATTTTGTTATATTCCAGTGAAGTAAAATTTCGTATCGGTTGCGTTGTTTGTTATGAAATTTTAAAATGTTTCGCGGATTTGTTTGTCTTAATGTATAATTAATTTTCATTTGCTCTTCCAGTGTAAAACTCATAAGTAAAAAGGGCTGCAAAAGCGAAATTTCTCTTACATGTGTATCGTAATGTAGTAATGCATGGCGCATCTGATAGATAGGATTATAACTAATTCTTTATTTGTTTAATTGTATGATTAAAGCCATGATATTTATATTATTGTAAGAACGTTGATGTAATTAGAGAAATAATAGAAAATAGGTATTAATTAAACGAGATTCATTCAACGAGACGTGAATTTCATTCAAATTATCAAATTTATGAAATTTCTTGAATATATCAAATTTATAAATTTAAGTGTATATTAAACTTTCTATTTCTTAACATTAGACTAAGATTAAACTTTAATTAAAGTAAAATTGCGGTGCTTTTTACTTAACAGTGAGATTTATAGTCGAAGTAAAGCGATAGTCGTTTTTAATTGCAGCTTTATTAAATGAGTAAATCCAAAATTATCAAGATATAAGAAATTGAATTTTACCATACTCAACAAGAGCACTGAGAGTTCGTTTTTCATCTTAGTCTCAAAATAAGCTACTTGAAATTCTATTAACATCTTTGAAAGAATTACTTTAGAAAATACGATTTGGAGATGACTCGTTTTTGAATAAAACAGAAGTAACTTACTTTGCATAATCAACAGTTTCGATGATAACGTAGTTTTGACTGTTTTCCATAAAAATGATTTCACAGTTTACGCGTTTTAGTTTTCACCTGAGTGGTGTAAAGAAAGAATATGTTGCTATAGTTATAAAAATTTTAAATTTTATAATCATCATTTTCAAACACTGAGCCATTGTTTAATGAATAAAAGAAGAAAACCGCAGACGTATTTACATAAAATGTTGCGTGTAAAATATTATTGCACAAATAAGTAAGTCTCCTTTTCAATATTATCTTCTTAAATATCCTCAAAATAAGTGTTAGTCTGTTAAATGTTTTCCTCAAAGTGAGCTTAATTTTTTTTAAAGCAAACGGGGCCACTTTCAATATTCCTTTAGTATTTAAATATGTAACATATTTTGCATTTTTCAGTTTTATGTTTTAAAAATATAAGCGTTAAGGATAGCTTCTTGAACATCCTATGAATTTTTTCTTAACTTTAAAAAAAAAATTATGTACTGAGTTTTTGAAATAACTGATAAATACCATATAAAATAGAATTATAATGTTTTTTCAGTTGAAATTATACATTTTTAAATCATGATTTATAATGAGCTAAATAATGTGACTTTTGAACAATCTCAAAATTAATTTTTATGATGGTTAGGACATAAATACCATAAAACTGAAAATTTTTTAATTCTATATTTTATTCAAATAGTTGCTTATTTAATTGAGAAACAATTAAATAAAAAATATTTTTGTAACATGTCTGTAAGTTAATTAAGGCTTATAGTAAAATCAATAAGAATGCTTTAAGCTCTTTCTTCTTTTTTTTAGGGGGGGTCAAACTTTTCTTCTAAAAAAAAGGAAGAAAAAGGAAAAAAAAAAAAAAGATCTTGGTTTAAAATGCATGAAGAAACTGCGCAACACATACTAAACTGATGAAACCAAATACAAACAAAATGCATAAAAGGATTAAATTTACTATTTTGTTTAAATAACTTACAGTGAAAAATACTGAAGTATAAGATTCTTTTACGAATTATTTTACATGAAATACAATTTGCATCAGTAGCATCTATTATAATGAAAAGTCCAGAGAGGGGAGGGGAGGCTGCAAACAGATTTTCCCTCAGGCCTCTATTTTTTGTAAATAAGGTCCTGCCTGTAGTAAAATATCACTTGAGATTTACACTAGAATGCTTTTAATGTATCCAATTTTTTCCTTTCTAAATTTCTTGAAATCCTTGAGAGATACTTTATCTCATTTTCCACCACGTAATAAATTTAATTAACGTAATCCATGCGCATTATTGGTTAGTTAATTCTTCAGAATCATGTAATTAATTTTAGGAAGTCCTTTTGTAAGAATTTTTATGCCATGAATTAGGAAATTGCGCATGACTGAAATGGTGATTCCTGGAAGACGTATTTTCCGCATATTGTGAATATATGTTAGAAAACAAACATTCAAGGATAGATTATAATTTTCCACCTGTGTGATTTTCATTTAAAGTAATTAACGTGTAGTAAATTTATTTGAATTTTTGTGAATAAAATCCTCGAAAAGCCCCAATATATGTATTAAATATTTTTCCATTATTTATGGTCTTGAAATAAAATTCCTAGTTGGCCAGGTTTTAATTTTAAGAATCGCTATTTAAGTGTATGTCTGTCCCCTTTTAATCTATTATCGAAGTTTACTCCAGTTTTCCCATTTATAGTTATCTAAATTCAGTTTGCATTAATATATGAAGCTTTATATAATAGTTTTAAACAAAAATGAAAGTGTATTCTTTCGGAAATAAAAATTTTACATCAATTTGAAGGAATATGCTGTTTTGGAAAAGTGCATGCAACGTAAAATTCAATATGAAAATACAATCTCGTGCAAGGAGATGCATTTCAGTTAATAACTCTCGCAGATATTATTTTTAAATAATTAATTGGTTGCCGTAATTATAACAATTAATTTTCATGAGTAAATCTTCGTTTTAATTCCATTCCCTTTCGCCTTTCTCTCTTCTCGCATCTGCGCTTCGCTGCATTCTACTCTTTCATTGATTAAAACTAGTGTTGTAGGTTGCCCTTCGGTTCCTCGTATCGAACGCTCGATTTCATCGCATTGTTGAATCGCTATGAGCTCCCTTGAATGTAAATATCAAGTTCAAGGAAAGGAAAATGCTTATGATTTTTGGTAATATTTATGTTGTATAATTTTCCCCCAATTTAATGCATCTTGTGTACACTTTGTTTTCATTAAGCATGTTTAAATATACAAAAAAAAATTATAGGAAAGATAGTTAATAGTTTTATTTCTTTAAATATTGATTCAAAACTCTTACTTTCAAACATAACCGTACAAAATAACGTACAGAATTTTAAGAGAGCAATTTGAACCCTGTGAATGGGCATTTCTGTAAAATAAATTAATCTCTTATATATATCCCTGTGAGAAATTTTTCAATAAATAAAATATTCATCATGTTTTGAATAGTTAAAAAATATTGTATGCCTTTATGTGTAAACATAGGTGACATATTCCAGATCTAGTTTATTGATTTAGGTCACCGCACCTTGTCTACAATCTGTATAACTATACACACTGCGGATAAAAACAAATAAATAAAAAAAATGGTACAATTCTATCTCTTCCGTTCTACTAGGCCGATTGACGAAATTGGCATGCCATTTCAGAAAAAGTCCGAGTTTGTGTCAAAATACCTATATTAAAACAAAGCTATATTTAAATGTAATACATATCCTACGTTGAGCTTTCGAGATATGAAAAACGCAAGTTGAATTTCGTCAATCGGTCCGGTAGAACGGAAGATATAGAGGTGTCTTTTGGAGGGGGCGTAGTGTACATTAAGATATATGAGAATGAATTTAGCAGCAGCTACAAAAGATTTTTTTTCTATTAATTGTTTGGTTATGAGTAAACTAGCATTCGATGTTAAATTTCTAATCAGTCAGTTAAAAATATTTATTAACTGTTAACTATCAAATTTTTTAAATTATATTTATGTCTAAAAAATAACTCCCTGTTTTGTCATAAAGGCATGTTAGATATTTTTGCTAAAAAAAGGACTTAATATTAGCAGTTTTTACAGATCCCTATTTAGAAAATTTTGCAGTTACTTGATTGTTTTTATTCTATTGTACAAAATATTCTATATTTGCATTCAGTGTTTATTTTACACAGGGCTAATTCCTTTCCCCGGAAAAAGTGAGAAATTTCGGACGTGCAAAATGAGTTTTCAGTTGCATTTATTTCGGAAAAAAGACAATATACCAAAAGTATTGACACTTTTTCGCTGATGAAAGTACATATGTACAAGATCAGTATTTAAGAAAATAAACTCTGCAGTCTGTTTTTTAAACTTCCTTTGTAATTAAATACATTTGCATTCTAATCGACTTTTGTAGGAGTGCGGCTGAAGTCATCCTGTGTTATTATGCTTTCCCCAAATGCGAATGGTCAGACGGTGTGGCTCGCCTGAAACCTCTGTGCCGTGAAGATTGCATCGCCATCAAGGAACTCTTCTGTTACAACGAGTGGGCGTTGGTTGAGGATAACAAGCAGAGAGGAATATTTTTCAAATCCAGAGGCCATTTCAGACTTCCCGAGTGCAATGCCCTTCCACTTCTGGGAAATGGAGGCAAGGAAACGTGCTCCCATGCTCATCTCACAGATATGCAGCGAGATGAAATAACTAGTAAGTTTGCTTTATATTTTGCTTATTTGTGTACTGAGCAATGAAATTTTACATTGGGCCGTTTATAAACGAACGCAACAGCAAAGAGTAGATAATTTGAAAAGAGAGTAAAGAAACAAGCAAGTTAATGCTACTTAGGTGATATCTTTTCTTTTAAGGTAAAGTGTATTTGATTGTAACATTTACTGACATCAACTAACGAACACGCCGCCCAAACGGTTTAGTGGTTAGGGGAGCCTGATTGCGATATCGAAGGGCACGGATCCCGGAGAAGGCGTGGACGTAAATTGTCTGCCTCTTCATAGGAGGAAAAGGTGGCCCCACCTGTTAAGTACCTCCATAATAAAGAGACCGCCACATCTGGCCTTAGCAGTGGCCAATGCCGGCATAGGCAACCGCCCGCCATTGGGGGGAAAAACTAAAGAATGCAGTCAGATGAAATACATTAACCAACCAAGTTGCCGTTGAATCAAGATCTGTATAAAAATAGATTTAAAATAGAATTTAACTGCTCAATCAGTAAGTTTGTTTATTATGGAACAGCCGAAGAATATCCCAATCCAGCAGCGCAAACCAAAACCGTCTAAATAATAAAATAAAATAACAAAAAAAAAAAAAAAAAAAGTCTGAAAGCTTTTAGATTGTTTACTCCCAAAGAGTGTTTTTATAATTTCCGATAGGCAGCCTCTCGCACTGGAGATAAAAATGTTTTATTCCCTACAGTGTTGCCACTGCTGGCTTTGATATTGTTGTGTTTTTTAATGAAAAATTCGTTAAAGTTTTATAAAATATGAAACGGACAATAAAATTCCGGCTTCCAAGTGCTCGTGTTCGAGTAGAGGACTGCTCGTGTTCGAGTAGAGAATTCAAAATCTGATGACTCTAGGTACCGTTGTTTTTCGCAATGCGAGAAACATGCATACATTCGTGTAATTTCTTCATTATTTAATTTCTTTAAATATAGTACAGGGCGATAATATTTGGTGGCAACAATTTAAAAAGTGATTCAGGCATTTGAAGTGATTCATCGCCGAATGCCGTTCTAAGACTAATAGCACTTTCTGGGCTAAAAATCTGAAAGGTTTCAGATATTAACTATAGCCTAAAGTATTTTTTTACGCTCTCGCTTATTTCGCAATCTACCAATCTGGCATTACACTCACTCATTTTATTTTTATTTATTTATTTATTTTATCGTTTAGCTTTATTATTAAGAATCGTTTTGTTTTCGCACATATACAATTCAATGTCAAAATCACAAAAATTTTAAAAGCAGCATATATTTAGAATTTCCCATCCTGATTTAAATGTCGGCATAATTTTCAAATTTTTTGCAGCCTTTCTTCAGTTATCGTATCAATATTCCGTTTTCTTTATTAAGATAAATTGCAAAACTTTTTAATCAGAAATTCATTAAAGTAAAATATGAAATGGACAATAAAACAAAATGAAAATTACTAATTCGGGCTTCCAGGTGCCTATATTCGGGTGGAGCAATATTTGATGTATCTAAATACCGTTGTCTTTTCATAGCGTGAGAAACATGCATACATTCATGAAGATTTTTCATTATTTATTTCTTTAACTATGATACAGAGCTGTAATATTTGGTGACAACAATTTGAAAAGTGATTTGGTGATTCAACGCACAATGCCGTTTCGAGACTAATAGCTCTTCTGGGCTGACGCCTCTTTGGACTAATAAAAAAAAAGTAACGTCATTTCGGGAAAATATTAAATATTTTAATCTATTGAATTTTGTGCATGTTTATTATTTAAATCAATCAGATTCGAAGGAAAACACTAATATTCTTAAGAACTGCATCTTTTGCTTTCAAATAGTTTAGTTTTTTTTAATCCACAACAGAGAGATTCAGTTTTGGAAGATAAATAGCCCTGTTTTGCCGAATGACAACAGACTCGAATTAAAAGTGAAAAGATGCTTTTAAAAGTCGATGGAAAATTTCATTTCGAGAGTAATAGCCCCTATCGGGGTAAAAAAAAGGGGGGGAGAAAAGGAAAGTGCGTGGGATAATAGCTGTGATAGTGGATGTAGTTGTAGTATTTTCGAATGGGCAACGATTTCGAAAATGCTACAACTACATCCACAACGACATTTAATTTAATGCATAGAAAGTATATTTAATCTACCGGGATTTTATGTAATCGGGAGCATACAAATATTAAGCAATAGAAAAACAAAAGTTTATCGATATTTTATGCGAGTCTGAATCTAATGAAGTTGTTTAAGTTGACCTGTAAGTATTCTTTTTTAATGCCGCTTTGTATTTAATTTCTTTATTTCCACTGCTGTTTTGTAAATGTTCTAAGCTCTCATCTCATTTATTACTTAATTTCTTCATTTCTAATTATCTCATTTTTTACTTAATTTCTTCATTTCTAATTCTGTTATGTGTAATTTACTTTTTCATATTGAATTCTAATACAATATACTGAACAAATTTATGTAAATCTCCAAATTAAATTGCTTGAAAATACAAATACATTTTTTAGTTATTTGTTTGTCAATTACAATGTGGATTATTCTTATAAGTATCACCCTCTAAATGCATATTAACTAGGAACTCTGTAGTTAAGCTCTTTTAATGCAACAAAAATATCTATGCGTATGTACAGAAATGAGAAATCCAAATAATTTTCTGTTCTGCTGCCCTATCGTAAAGGATATTAATTTCAAAAAGCCGTTATATGATTGCGCATCCTCATCTTCACCAAAATATTAATACTCCCAGAAAGCTATTATCAGCTAAAGGAACTGATATAGGTCATATCTAAGAACAGGAAACACTTTATAAGTTATGTAAATAGTTTACAGGTCATTTACTAACTTCTGTCAACTGTTTATTCCTTCTGTAGTCTAAAATTAGACTTATTATGTAAATTTAGAGTTATCTGTTTTTTACATCGTTCAACTTCTAAAATGTGTGGGAATTTCTAGGCTATCAAAATTTCATTGTAGTCTTTGTTTATCAAGCTTATTATTTTTTTTTTTTACTTAATTCTTAGTTCCAAAGGGGCTTTGTGCCTGAAGGACTATTGTTTTCGTTTTTGCGTTGGTTCACTATAAATATCCGTTTACTTTTGAAACTGTTGCCACGAAATGTTAGAATGGCCTTCATTATATTTGAAGAAATTAAACAATGAAAAATCTGCATAAATGTATGCATATTTCTCGCATTGTGATAAAAAAACGGTACATAGAGCCATCGAATTTTGAATGACGTAATCCTACCGCGAATATGGGCATGTGGAAGCCCAAATTTGAAATTTGTTTTATTATTAATTTCATATTGTGTAAAACTTAACGAATTGCTTGATTAAGAAACTCAAGGATTTCAAAGCGAGCCATGGCAACGTTGTACAGAAGAAACAATTTTATCTCCGCTTGAGACTGCCTATCGAAATTCCAAAGATATGCTCAATTTAAAACTATTTTGCGATATTGCTCTTGAACTGAATTTTGTGATTTAAGTGCGAAGAACGTGATATTTAATAAATAAAGGTAACAGACAAAATGTTAAGAAAAACGCCCCTTTGGACGTAATTTAAAATCTGAAACCTTTCAGATTTTTTTTTTTTATTATTTTTTAATTATTATTATGTTGTATTAGTTTATTATGTCCGAACTCGCAATATTTACTAATGCTTCAGACTAAGAAGACTTCTGAAAGACTGTATTATGTTAACGCATTGTACTTTATTACCATACTCTGTATGTCTAAGTTAATATATGGTTACGAATTCTTTTCATATGTAAATAATTTTAGCACATTTTTATGTGAAACTATAGTATTTTTATATAACATAACAATTAAAATCTAAAGAAGCAAAGCTGTGCCGGAAAGGTAAGAATACAGAGGCAAATTATTTAACATTCAGTAATTGGCTGTCTCGCGGAATTGGCGAGAAATCTTCAAAAGTCGCCAAATTTGGAACCATTTAGATCCTCTCTCTGTGTAATTGTAATGTGTAATAACTGTAATTGATGTGTATGTAACTTCAACCGTATCCGTTCCTCACATGCCTTCCAGTAATTTTGAGAAATAGAATTTACTTGAGATTTCTCGGTGGCCGGATAAAAATTATATAAGACGGGTTGTTCTTCACAGTTGTTCGTTCAGAGCTAAATTCAGAGTATCGAGATACCTGTGAGAACTTGGCCTTTTAGATGTGTTTAGCATTGCACTGTGTTTAGCGTTCTTCGTAGTTTAAGTGTAATGAATGATTGTACTCTGTTATACTGTGAAGAGTTGTACGAGTGTTTTGGTAGAAAATTCCAGAATTGTGAAGCTTTTTTTTTTTCTTTTCCGTAAAATAAATTTTGTCAAGCTGTCATCAATTCTGTGTGCATTCAATCTATAAACCCGTACGTACGCAACAATATGCATAATAACCAGCGAAAGCAACTGGTCGATGTTATCGCACCTGTTTTCTATATCTATTACAACGAATATGCCTGTAACTGTGGAATTGCATTGGCGTACAATATTTACACTTGTGTGGGGAAGAGCTTAAGTGTAGGATTCCTTGAAAGAATTTATGTGTAGCATTGAACTTAAACAATTTAACAAATCCTTAAAATAATTTATGTTTAGCATTGAACTTAAACAAGTGTAAATTTTTAGTTCTTACATTTTATTTTCCCTAATTCTTTTTTTTTTTTTTTTTTTTTTTAATAAACTAAATCTTTATTTTTTCTCGCTGGAGCTAGTATTTACGAAATTTCTGTGCCCTGGTTTGATTATTCTGGTTCACCCATTTTCTTTTAAAAAGTTAAAAAGTAAATCTACTTCTTCACCATTTCTCCAAGGTTTTGTACGTAAATGTACGGTTCTATTTCTTTAATTTAGTTCTTTCGTTTTTTCTTTCCGCTACCCTTATTTATTCAGTTTAATTATATCGTATCTCTAGGGATTGCTACGAAATTACTTTGGACTGTACAGGTACTGAATTGTATAAGTAAACGTTTCTTACGAGGA